TTTTGGTTGAAATCGAAATCGGTTTTAAAATAACCAAAAAAATTTTCTTCAATTTTGAGAATCGAAACCAAACCATAATTTTCACAAACTAATTGGTTCGGTTACCAATAAAATTGGTTTGGTTTTGGTTTTTACTAAATAAATATTAATCAATTTTTTTTAATAATAAATTATATTTTATCTCATATTTTATCATATTATACTATATTTATCTAAAGTTCGATTTTCAAGAGGCTCATTTTTTGTTTTTGGTTTGTGAAAAGTTCAACCGAAACCAAACCAAAATTTATTCAGTTAATATAAAAACCAAAACAATAAAACCTGAAAACTATTGAAACCAAACCAAATTCATTTTTTTGGTTCAATTTTTGGGTAACCCTTCAGTTACCCACCTGCATACCCACCCCTACTTAGAATCCATGCTCCTAGAACAAAACCTAATATTCAAAATACTATCCATTTAATAATTAGTTATGGTACAATTCATATTGTAGTCACCAATAAAATCGGTTTGGTTTCGGTTTTTACTAAATATACATTAATCAATTTTTTTTTCAATAATAAATTATATTTTGTTTCATATTTTGTCATTTTTATCTAAATTTCGATTTTCAAGAAACTCATTTTTTATTTTTGGTTTGTGAAAAGTTTAACCGAAACCAAATCAAAATTTATTCTGTTAATATCAAAACCTAAACAATAAAACTTGAAAACCATTGAAATCAAATCAAATTCTTTTTTTTTTTTGTTTAATTTTTAGGTAACCCTTCGGTTACCCACCTGAATACTCACCCCTACTTAGAATCCATGCTACTAGAACGAAACCGAATATTTAAAATACTATCCATTTAATAATTAGTTATGGTACAATTCATATTGTAGTCAAATTATATAATGGTCTGTTTGGTAACGTGAATTTGAAATAATGTATTTGAATTTAGGAGGTTGAAATTTAATATCATTGTTTGTTTTTATCTAAATAAAATGTAATTAAATTTACAGAAAATACATACATTTCAACCGAGTATTTTCAAAGGTTTAAACCCGTGTATTTCAATTTCACTCTCAAACCTATGAATTTCAATTTTGAAATGAATTTCCTCTCCACTCTCTCCTCTCACCAACGGCGATGAAGCCACCCAAACCTCTCCTTGATAGCAGGTTTTTTGTGCGAGGAGGATTTTGGGGTTTCGTTTGCTTTAGGCAGTTTTCCTGCAGATTCATCGAGTCTTGGCGGCGAGAAGGGGAACATACACAGAGGGATGATGATGGCGGTGACCGAGTTTTTGGCCAAGGAAGATTTCGATCTGATGGTGGAAGCGGTGGGGGTCGAGGAAAAAGAGTGATGTATCTTAGCTTACCAATCAGTTTTGCTTTGGACTGCGAAGCGGCATGGCTATCTTGCCCTGTCAATGATGGGTGAGGAGGAAGGGGATTGGTTGGCTTCGGGAGGAATTGGGAATTGTTTTGTCAATGGTGGCTAAGGGGTGGCCGATGGCGGCGATGGCTCTTTTCCGGCAGGGGCTTGCGTTTCTCGGTGGGATTGCTTGAATCGGATTTTTCGGTGATTGGATGGAATTGAGATTCTGAGAGTATTATACTTTCCAGAAAAATCAGGATTTGCTCCATTTGAGTTTAAATTGAATTTCTGTTACTTCTCATGCCAGATGGCATCAATAATTGGGTAGGAAATTTTGGAATTAATAGTGCCAAAGATTACAAACATAGGGATAAGTTTTTTTATAATTTTTTTTTATAATTTTTGTATATTAATTATATTAATTTGTATCCATATCAATTT